TGGATTGAATAGTTGAACAGGAACCCCAGAGAGACCTTACAGTGAGGACATTTTCACGTGATAATGTGTCACACTTTTTCTAAAGGGAAACAAAAATAACTAATAGTAATAATCATACTTCCACTGCTGATTGATTGCATTAGGAATGTTATCACACATTCTCTAAAATGTTATGTTTGGATCTGGACGTGATACATTATTTCATTATGCACATTTCTAACTTTAAAACTAGAACACAGCAAGATGCAAAAATAAAAATTAAATTTGTATTTCATTATTTGAGATTTAAAGCAAAGCTTTTTACAGAGGGCATTTTGAATATGATGGTTTATCACAAAATATTTCATAAAATGTAAAAAAAAAAAAAAAAAAATAATTTCACAATTTGCTATACAATTAAAGTCAGAATTATTAACCCCCGTTTATGGTTTTCTTCAATTTCTGTTTAACGGAGAGATTTTTTCAACACGTTTCTAAACATAATAGTTTTAATAACTCATCTCTAATTACTGATTTATTTTATCTTTGCCATGATGACAGTAAATAATATTTGACTAGATATTTTTCAGGACACTTCTATACTGCTTAAAATGACATTTAAAGGCTTAACTAGGTTAATTAGGCTAACTAGGCAGGTCAGGGTAATTAGGCAAGTTATTGTATAACGATGGTTTGTTCTGTAGACTATGGAAAAAATATAGCTTAAAGGGGCTAATAATATTGTCCATAAAATTGTGTTTAAAAAATTAAAAACTGCTTTTATTCTAGCTGAAATAAAACAAATAAGACTTTGTCCAGAAGAAAGAATATTATCAGACATACTGTGAAAATTCCCTGGCTCTGTTAAACATCATTTGGGAAATATTTACAAAGAAAAAAAAATTTAAAGGCAGGGGGCTAATAATTCTGACTTCAACTGTACATGCTGGAGATTGCAAATGATGGAGACCTTAGGAGCTATTTACATATCGCGCCTTTTCCATGTACACACACACACACACACACACACACACACACACACACACACACACACACACACACACACACACACACACACACACACACATATATATATATATATATATATATATATATATATATATATATATATATATATATATATATTTAGGCACATTCATTCATCCATTTTCTTTTCAACTTAGTCCTCGGAATGAACCGCCAACTTATCCAGCATATGTTTTACGCAGCGGATGCTCTTCCAGCAACAACCCATCACTTGGAAACACTCTCACTCACACACATTTCACCTTTATAAATATATTGCAATTAAAATCTACAAAGCTAAATCGGAAAAAGGAAGACAAAAGTTGCATTTAAAAGTGAATTTTGTATATTTTTTTCCCATTATACTGAAAAAAAAGCCCCATCAAAACCGACAGGTCCATGAAAAAAGAGATTTTGCCTGTATTGCATTGCCTTATACCTTAATACTATAGTTATAACAAAAATTAAAATTACCTCATCATTTACTCCCCCTTATAAACCTTAATGAGTTGCTTTCTTTTGCACACAAAATAAGATATTTAAATAAATGCATGTTGCTGGCACCCATTGGCTTACATAGTGACAAAAACCCAACAATTCAATGGAAGTTGATGAGAGCCAGCTACCAGCATTTTTCAAAACATCTTTATTTGTTTTCAACAGAAAAAAGAAGCTCAAGTAGATTTTAAAATAGTGAAGGATGAGTCAAAAAAAAGAAAGAAAGAAAAAAGAAATATATATATATATATATATATATATATATATATATATATATATATATATATATATATATATATATATATATATATATGTTAAACTATCCATTTAAACATGATATCTATATGCAATAACATTGGACTGTCAAGCTATAAGCTCTACCAGATGTTCACCAGAGACCAAATATGTGTGTCTGCTCACCTCACTGACCGCATCTTTATTATATATATATATACTGTATTAGCGGGAAGTCTTAGTGTTCAGAAAGGCCAGTAAGTTTCCACAGAAATCCGCACTCAAAATCCTCTTTACGGTTCCAGAAAGTGTGGCGCTCTTAAGTCTTATCATGTGGAGTTGTGTCAGCATCGTGAGTGATGTCAGCATCATCTTGCATTAATCATTTTGTCTGATGCGTCTTCCTGTTTTGGGTATTTCTCCATACAAGCCATGACCGTATCACGGAGTTTGAATAACTTCCTGAATCCCCCAATTGTATTCAAATGAAGAGATAAGGGTTTAATTCAGTTTTATCACAATTTTTTTAGGTTGTTATGACTGAGCAGGATAAAAGAAAAGATTTATGTGCATGTTAGAGCTTGAAAGCAAATCCCGACAATCACACAGTCAGTAAAAATCTAAAAAAAGCTAAAAAAAAAGTGTAATTATATTATTTTAATGGAATGAGTTTGTTCCAAACAAATAGTTAAAAAGTTCATTGAACTTGATTGAAACAAGTTATGCAAACTCAATTTTAATTGAATTAGAGTAAACTTAAATTATTGAGTAGAAGTAGATTTGTAGTTCCCAGCATTTTTCACGAGCATAAGTTATAAAATTAAGGGTTATTTTGTGTGTTGTGTGTTTGTGCAGTTTTTGTTTTTGCAAATCCGCCAAGGCTGCCATGTATGCTTTTTATATCAACATTTCTTAAATACCACAAGCAATTAATATACATGTTGGTATTTTATTATATCACTAATTGCTAAAGCCTTGTTACACACACAGCAATCAAGTTTCCTAAATGTTTTCTGTGAATCAGAGCCATGAGAAATCTTGCAATTATCAGGCGGCTGATCTGCAATACCTGTTCTGAAAGCCTGAAGGAAAACGGAGGCGTTGATACAGCAGTCATGAGTCTTTTAATCAGCCTTGACAAGGATCTACGGTCTGCACTGTGGGAATATGTCTAGATGATAAAAGAGAGATGGCACACATTCAGAAAACGCTTTCGCAATAATCTTCAATCACAATTACATCTGACTTGTTCAAACTGGAATTAATTCGTTCGTCCTGAGAAATTCAGTCAACTTTAAATCAAGCAAAACAAAAAAAAAAAAAAAAAAGAGAGAAAAGGGGAAAACAAATATCTTAAATACTGTTTCCAAAAGCGAAGAAGAAAGATTCAGCAAATATTGCACAACACAATGAGATGAATAGAAAATAAAGTGAGAAATGCAAATCAGCTGTGCAAATATATAACACACAAGCAAATATGATAATATAAAATACAGTAGATCAGAAAAGTTTGCTGTAAAACATATCTGTAAATCAACAGTTTTTTTTTTTTTTCAATTATTTACACCTTTGATTTGCATTATGGGACCTTAATTTTGGTAGAAAGTGTAAAGAAAAGGTGCCTCTTGAGATTTTTGTTAGTTTGAAGTAAATCTGGAGGAATTTCAGTGCATAAAGGACAAGGGCACAAACCTAAGCTGAACAACCGTGATCTCCAATCCCTCAGGCGGCACTACACCAAGAACTGTCATTCATCTATAAGCGATTTCACCATATGGGCTCAGAACTACTTTGTCAAACGTTTGTCATGTACTACAATCTGTGGTTACAGCCACAAATGCCAGTCAAAACTGTACTGTGCCAAAAGGAAGCCCTATGTTAACAGTGTCTACTTGGCTCATATGGATTGAACCATCACGCAGTGGACACGTGTACTGTGATCAGATAAATCACTATTTCAGGTATTTTTTGAAAGAAATGAACGCCGTGTGCTCTGGATTAAATAAGTATCATCCAGACTGTTACCAGCAACAAGTCCAAAAGCCAGGGTTTGTTTTGTTATGAGGTTGTGTCAGTGCTCTTAGCAAAGGTAACTTTCATGTTTGTGAGAGCACTATTAATGATAAAAAAAGTACATTTTGGAGCACAATATGCTGCGTGTTTTACAAGGACGCCCATGCAAATTTCAACAAGACAATGCGAAACCACATTCTGCACACATTACAAAGAGAATACAGGTACTTGACTGGCCTGCCTGCAGTCCCAACCTGTATTCAATAGAGAATGTGAGAATGAGTTAGGAGTGAAGATGAAGACCACATACTGTTGCCCACATTAACACTTGTGCGCAGAAAGAATGGGACAAAATTACTCCTGAAACACTTCATCACTTGCTGTCTTCAGTCCCTAAACATCTTTTAAGTGTTGTGAAAAGAAATGTCAATGTCAATTTTATTTATATAGCACTATTTAACACGACCAGAGGTTGACCAATGTGCTGCACAGTACAAATCAAAACAGAGAAAAACAAATGTATATATGAAATTATAGCTAAAAGAGACAATTTTCATAGATAAAATGCCAAATCAAAGAGGTAAGTTTTCAACATAGATTTAAAAACAGACAGCGATGAAACAAATCTGATACAGAGGGGCAGAGCATTCCACAACCTAGGACCAGATACTGTGAAGGCACGGTCACCTCTGCATTTCAGCCTCGACTTAGAGATGCATAACAGTCTCTGGTTAGATAACCGAAGAGACCTACCAGGCTGATGCTCAAATGGCAACATTACAAAGTGGTAAACGCTTTATTGTTCCAACAGTTTTTGAAATGTGTTGCAAGAACCAAAATTGGAATGTGCTTATTTAGCAAAAAGAAAACAATAAAACTCATGAGGAACCCATTAAGCACTTGCTTTGTTAAACTACGCAGTGGAGTTGTCAACATCAAAAGTCGCCCGAGCAGAGATAAATAGTCAATGCAATTAATTAAAAGTTAATGCAATTAATAGCCTAAATTAAATGTAAAAATAAACGCTAAATAGATAACCTGTTAATTAACAGATGTTTTTTTACAGTGTTGTATAAGATTGTTACCTGTTGAAAAACATGCACTGACCTAAAAAATAAACATGCACACACAGACACACAAACAAACAGACACACTCTAAATACTCGGGATGCCCTTTACTTATTTTTAGCAGCTTTGCTCTTGATGCCAGAGGATTTAAAGTCAGTAATAGTACTAAATCCTCAGCAGTCGCTTCCGACTGACTGAAGAACAGAGATCTGGACTTGAGAAAGCAAGAGAGAACACACACTTAGGTGAGTCTTTGCAGTTAATTTATAATGCATGTAAAATATATGCAGTTGAAGGAAAAACGATTAGTTCTCCTGTGAATTTTTAATTCTTTTATAAATATATTTCAAGTCATGTTTAAAAGAGCAATGATACTTTCACAGTAATTCCTATAATATACTGAATATATATATATATATATATATATATATATATATATATATATATATATATATATATATATATATATATATTTCTTTTAGAGGAAGTCTTATTTATTTTAAACTGGCTGGAAAAAGTAGTTTTTAATTCTAAGAGTATATATATTTTAAGATCAATATTATTAGCCCCTTTATGATCTGTTTTTTGTTTGGCTATAGAACAAATCATTGTTATGTAAAACCCTCTGGTGATCCTTATTTGTGAATCACACTTGTGGTCTTCGCGGTCAAAAATGGGACGAATGCCTGTAAAGCACCCTCTGATGTTTTTCAGTAAAATCAATCAAATTTATTTTTGTTGGATAATATTTTTTCTTTGTGATTTTTCATTTTGAGAGAGTTCGTTTGTAATAAATAATATTTATGTAGAAATTAACATCCAATTTTCCCCTTATTGAAAGCAATTCATGTTTTGTAATTTTTAGGGTTAGTTAATTTTTAATTATTACAGTAATTCTTTATATTATAATAATTATTTCTTAAGTTTATATAGTTTATTTCTGGACACTCAAGGCACTTTACACATTTTCTTGGGGGGAACACACATTTTGAGGGAAGTCTTCTCATCAACCTGGATGACGCGATGGCAGCCATACACTAAACCCTACACCACACACCATCTAGAGGAGACAGATTGATGAAGCCATTTATGATATAGGGATGGTTGGACAGAGGCCAGTGGGCAAATTTGGCCAGGATGCCTGGGTCAAACCCCTACTCTTTTTCGAAGGACATCCTGGGATTTTTAATGACTTCTTGATCTCACAAACATCTCATCAGAAAGACAGTGCTCACTGAGCAGTGTAGAGTACCCATCAATATACTGGGGTGTTAGGACCCACACAAACCACAGGTTGAGCGCCCCGGCTGGCCTCACAAACACCACTTCAGGCAGCAAACCAGCTTTCCAATGAGGTCTCCCATCCAGGTACTGACCGGGAGCAGCCTTGCTTAGCTTCAGTCTGCGACCACGTAAGAGTTGCAGAGAGCTAGCTGCTGGCTAGGTAAAATAAAGTCTTTACCATTCAAAAACAAACGCCAGCTATTTTTTACAACCATTTAGCATGCTTGAATCAAGGCCTCAATTTTTGTGTGTGTTCACATACCAAATGCCAACTAAGTCAAGGAGTTTTAGACCATTTAGATGATTCTGTCATGTTTAAAAATTCCAAAACATAAAATGTATTGGTCTTAAATGGCCGAAGAATATACCAGAGGGTTGTATGTCATAGAAGGGCCAGCAACTGTTTACTGTATGCAAGAAGTCAAACATTTGCTGAAATAATCACAAACTATCAGGCTGATCATTTATTTACATGTATAATTTTATTTTCAAAAAAACTTGGGGTAAGTTGTAATTTTACAGGAATGCTGTTAATTTGGTTAGTGATTGCAGAACTTCAGTAAATGTTTCTGGTTTGCTTTAATGTAACCTGCTGATAGCATTAGAAATAACTTGGCAAAATCGTACAATTAAAACTGCTCAAATGAAAAGATAAGAAGCTCGCAGTTCCTAGAAACAGACTGGAATCATTTCAGTGATTTCCCGATGACAGACACAGTGCTTCATACTTAACACATTCTCAAGCTTTTATTATCAAATGTTTACCATAATTCATTTGAAATATCTGAGGTGTAGCTGAATGCTTACATAACTCTGTCAGTACCTAATTCCTAGCTCAATATGCTAATTTATGCTACAATACTAAAAACATATTCATGTTTTATCTAAAAAACATATTTACGTTTATTTGTGTGAGAAATATGTTAGCGATAGTGTGCTAATTCAGTAGAAATAATATAATCATGTTTACATGGTTTCGATATGATAATACACTTGAAACATTATAGCAAAACATGCTAATACATGCTAGAAATATAGCCACATACTCTTTCATGCTGTATGCTAGTTAATTAAGGTATTCTGACAATCGCATTCATGCTAACAACAAGACAATCAGGCTAACAAAATGTTAATACATGTAAACCATTTGGAAAAATAACGATAGCGTATAAATAACCTGGCAAAAATCACACAAAAGCAGCTGAAATGGAAGCCAACCATGCAGTAAGGAACAGACTGGAATCATGTCAGCTTAACCTCTCGGACACGGACACTCTGTGCTTCATACTTAACACATTCTCAAGCTTTTATTATCAAATGTTTACAATAATTCATTTGAAATATCTGAGGTGTAGCTGAATGCTTACATAACTCTGTCAGTACCTAATTCCTAGCTCAATATGCTAATTTATGCTACAATACTAAAAACATATTCATGTTTTATCTAAAAAACATATTTACGTTTATTTGTGTGAGAAATATGTTAGCGATAGTGTGCTAATTCAGTAGAAATAATATAATCATGTTTACATGGTTTCTATATGATAATACACTTGAAACATTATAGCAAAACATGCTAATACATGCTAGAAATATAGCCACATACTCTTTCATGCAGTATGCTAGCTAATTAAGGTATTCTGACTATCGCATTCATGCTAACAACAAGACAACCAGGCTAACAAAATGTTAATACATGTAAACCATTTGGAAAAATAACGATAGCGTATAAATAACTTGGCAAAAATAACACAAAAGCAGCTGAAATGGAAGCCAACCATGAAGTAAGGAACAGACTGGAATCATGTCAGCTTAACCTCACGGACACGGACACTCTGTGAATCATACTTAACACATTCTCAAGCTTTCATTGATTGCAATAATTAATTTGCATAACTTAGGTGTAACTGAGTGCTTACGTAGCTGTCAGTTCCTAATTCCTAGCTCAACATGCTAATTTATGCTAGCATGCTAACAACATACTCATGTTTTATCTAAAAAACATATCTTGTGCTAGAAATGGGTTAGCGATATTATGCTATTATGCAATCACGCTTACATGCTTTCAATATGATAATCTGCTTGAAGAATAATAGCAAAACATGCTAATGCATGCTAGAAACATGCTAGCCACTTACTCTTTCATGCTGTATGCTAACTAATTAAGGCATTCTGATAATCGCAACATCTAATTCATGCTAACAACAAGACAACCATGCAAACAAAATGTTAATACATGTAAACCATTTGCAAAAATAATTATAGCATTGAAATATCATGGCAAAAAGCATAGAAAAACAGCTGAAATGAAAGTATAACTAGCATGCAGTTCCTAGGAACAGACTGGAATCATGCCTGCTAACTCTCCCAATGACATAGACACTCTGTGAATCATACTTAACACATTCTCAAGCTTTCAATATCAAATGTTTACAGTTATTCATTTGTAATAACTGAGGTGTAAATGGAGTGCTTACATAAATCAGTTGGGTTTACTCATTAATGCTAGCATGCTAACAACATATTCCCGTTTTCCCTGCTGAAAAATCCAGCTTAAACCAGCCTAGGCTGGTTGGCTGGTTTTAGCTGGTCGACCAGGCTGGTTTTAGAGGGGTTTTGGCCATTTCCAGGCTGGTTTCCAGCCATTTCCAGCCTGGTCTAGCTGGTCAGGCTGGAAAATGACAACCTAAATCCAGCTAAAACCAGCTTGACCAGCCTGGTTTAAGCTGGACATAGCTGGTTTTGGCTGGACTCCTAGCCCGGCTAGGCTGGTCAAGCTGGTTTTAGCTGGTCATTTCCCAGCCTGGCCAGCTAAGACCAGGCTGGAAATGGCTGGAAACCAGCCTGGAAATGGCCAAAACCCCTCTAAAACCAGGCTGGTCAACCAGCTAAAACCAGTCAACCAGCCCAGGCTGGTTTAAGCTGGATTTTTCTGCAGGGAAATTCATGCTAACAACAAGGCGACCATGCTAACAAAATAAAAACCATTTGGGGAAAATGACTTGCCAAAAGTCTTACAGAAACAGCTGAAATGAAAAAACAACAAGCATGCAGTTCCTAGGAACAGATTGGAAACATGTCAGCTAACTCTCCCGATGCCACAGACACTCTGTGAATCATACTTAACACATTCTCAAGCTTTTAATATCAAATATTTGCAATAATTAATTTGTAATAGCTGAAGTGTGAATGCAGTGCTTACATAACTCTGTGGGTTCCAGCATGAAGCCCAGGAGGCGGCGGCCCTCGGTGGATCTGCTGCCCACCATCGCAGAGCTCCAGGAGAGCGAGCTTCAGGCTCAAAGTCTGGAGGAGTACATGGAGTCCATTCGGGAGCTGTCCCAGCCCAGCTACCCCCTCAGTGGCCCCCTGCAGCGCTCCCGTCTGTGCCCACTGCGGACCGCCAGATTCCCCAGCATGAGCCTGGCACACAGACCCTGGGCCATCAGCAGACCTGACAACGCATCACTGACCCTGAACCACTGCAAGTGCCCGAACATTTCACATCAAGACCCGCTGGACTGGCTGTTCGCACAAACACAACACACCATAGGGACTCCTATACAGAGCAGTCCTGAAGACCTCGCAATGATATAAGCATAAAACATGTTAACTTGGTTGCTGAGTGCGACTGGTATTTATTTTTATACCTCCTGCTGTCAAGACATGGGCACACTGTCTTTCTATTATTAGCAAAATCATGCAACTAGCCTAGAACATGCTGGCATCATGTTAATTTATGGTAACAATGTTACCCTTGTTATAAACATGTTCATTTATGCTAACACCTTGCTAATTTAAGCTAATTGTATGCTTACCATGCTAGAAACATGGTAATTTTATTAATGTTGACTTGACACACAGTGTGTATCATTAGCAAAGCCTTGTAAATAGCCCATGCATGCTGACACCATGTTAGCCACATGCTAATAGATAGTAATATGTTTCTCCTTGTTATATACATGCTCATGTATGCTAACATCTTGCTAATTTAAACTAATAGTATTGTAACGATGCTAGAAACACAGTGATTTTTATTAATGTTGGCTTGACACAAACATAGTGTGTATCATTAGCAAAGTCTTGTAAATAGCCCATGCATGCTGGCACTATGTTAGCCACATGCTACTGTAATTAATGATAACAATGTTAACCCTGTAATAAACATGCTCATTATGCTGCTAACACCTTGCTAATTTAATCTAATAATATGCTAACCATGCTAAAAACATTGTCATTTTATTAATTTTGGCTTGACACTCTGTATCATTAGCAAAGCCTTGTAAATAGCCCATGCAAGCTGGCATCATGTTTACCACAAGCTAACTAATGTTAACAATGTTAACTTTGTTATAAACATGCTCATTTATGCTAACACCTTGTTAATGAAAGCTATTAGCAAGCGAATCATGCTGGAAACATGGTGGATTTATTCATGTTGGCTTGACGCATACACAGTGTGAATCATTAGCAAAGCGTTGTAAATAGCTCATGCATGCTGACACCATGTTAGCCACCATCTAATTGATGTTAACCCTGTTATAACCATGGCCATTTATGTGAACATCTTGTTAATTAAGCTAATAGCATGCTAACAATGCTAGAAACATTGGGATTTCATTAATGTCGACTTGACACAAACACAGTGTGTATCATTAGCAAAGACTTGTAAATATCCCATGCATGCTGACACCATGTGTTAATGCTAATTGATTGTAACAATGTTAACCTTGTTATAAATATGTTCATTTATGCTAATACCATGCTAATTTACGCTAATAGTACCATGCTAGAAACATGAGGATTTCATTAATGTTGGCTTGACACAAGCAGTGTGTATCATTAGCAAAGCCTTCTAAATAACCTAGCAACATGTTAGCAGCCTGCTAACTCTTTTTAACAATGTTAATGGTGCTGGTACCAACCAAACATGCAAATTTATGCTATGATATAGCCTACTAAGAATACTAGAAACATGGTAATTCATGTTTACAAAATGCTAACCATGTGAAGAACCTGATAATAAAGCATATTTGTTCATGTTAATGGTAACAGCATGCTAATAGCTTTCATAATAAATTAATTATAACTGTGTATATTTTAGATGTGTTTTTCTTGTCATGCAAAGCTGAAAGCAGCCATTATTTCAGCATTCAGTGTGTCACAATATGCTGTAGCCTATATATTTGCAAATTTACTCTTTAATTGCAGGCCATCATTATCAATACAAACGTCAATGTTCATGACAGAACTGTAAAATAATAATAAAAAAGTAATTTAGGCTTTGCATTAAATTACTTTGCTCTAAATGTACTAAAAAGAAGCACAGAAGAAAGCAATTGCTGTCAGCATGCTCTAATAAACACAATCTAGTTAGGTTTCGATTTCCCCTAAACCACAGTGGTTCTCAGAGACGCTGGTCAGGATTTATTTAACCCAAAAAGAATGTTGTCCTGATGCCAGAAAGCTTTAGAAAGCTTGCTCAACACTGCTTGACTGAAACAGACTCTGCAAAAACAGTGTGAAAAACTGAGGGCTCTGTGTTTGCATGAAGTTACCCATAATGTAAACATGTAAATGCAGCTTGTTATCACTGAGTCCAAAGACCAGTTAGAACAGTTATACAGCCAAGTTATTTCACAATAAGCAGCTCTATGGCCTTCTGCACTCCAAGCGAAAAAAGAAAGATTGACTGGTTTATGCTAACTTAAAAAATGTCAGCCTACAGCTCTTTAAGTCTCTCTTTGTTTTGGTTAGATATATGATAGCAACATGCTAAATAGTGTTAAAACATGCTAGCAACATATTTATGTTATAATATGCCAAGGATGCTAAATGCACGTTAGCAGCATGCTCATTCATGCTAGAAACATTTGAGCAACATGATAATTCATGCTAATAATATGATACACATACTCAAAAAGTGCTAATTCATGTTATCAAATTGTTAAAACATGTTAGCTATGTGGTATGACATGCTAACCGCATTCTAAAAACATGTTAACAACATTATAATTCCTGCTAACAATAGAGTATGTCAACTAGAGATATGTCTGTAACATTGTAATTTGCATTATTAGTTTAGTAAGAATGCTAGAAAAATGTTAATTCATGCTAATAAGATGTTAACAACATATTCATATTAGCAAAATGATACAACAGGCTGACCATGTGGTAACGCATGCTAGCAGAATTTTAAATTATGCAAACAATATGAGCACAACAGAAATATGCTTACAACATGTTCATTTAGGTTAGCAAAATAGTTAAACATGTTACAAACATTTTAGCAAGTCATGTTAATTTATATTAGCAAAATATTATACATGCTAGAAAAATGTTAGCAAACAAAATTAATTCAAATTATAAATAAATATTAAAACATGCTAGCTAGATGTTAGCTAGTCATGTCAATTCATATTAGCACAACAGTAAAACATGCTAGAAAGATGTTAGCAAGCATATTGATGCAAATAATCACAACATTAAAACATGCTAGAAAGATGTTAGCAAGTCGCGTTAATATCATCAAAATAAAAATAAAAAAACATGTTACAAACATGTTAGTAAATCATGTTAATTCATATTAGGGAAATAATAAAACATGCTAGAAACATGCTAGCAAGCAATGTTGATTTAAATTATGAAATGATTAAAACATGCTAGAAAGATGTAACCAAGCAATGCTAATTAAGATTATAAAATATATTAACACATGCTAGAAAGATGTTAGCAAGTAATGCTAATTGAAATGATAAAAAATTTGAAAACATGCTAGAAAGATGTTAGCAAACAACATTAGCTAAAAAATATAAAGAAACATTAAAACATGCTAAAAAAGATGTTGGCAAACAATATTAGCTAAAACTATAAAAAAAACATTAAAACACGCCAGAAAGTTATTAGCGAGTCATCTTAATTTATATTTGCAAAATAATAAACATGCCCAAAACATGTTAGCAAGCAATGTTAGTTTAACTGATCTAAATATTAAAAGATGCTAGCAAACAATATTAGTTAAAATTATAAAAAAAAAAACATTAAAACATGCTAGAAAGATGTTAGCTAGTCATGATAATTTGCATTAGCAAAATATTAAACATTCCAGAAACATGTTAGCATGTAATATTAGTTCAACTGATCAAAATTTTAAAACATGCTAGAAATATGTTAGCAAGTCATGTTAATTTACATAATCAAAATATTAAATCATGCTACAAACATGTTAGTAACCTAATTTTAATTAATTAGCGAAATATTAAAACAAATCTAGAAACATGTTAGCATGTCATGTTGATTAACGTTAAAGTCACAGAACAGAAAGTTCCAAGAGCAGAGAGAACAGTTAGACAGCCAAGTTATTTCACAATAAACTCCTCTGTGGCCCTTTGTACTCCAAAATGAGAGAAAAGGAAAGACTGATTGCTTTATGCTAACTTCAAAAATGTTAGAAAATGCTAGAAAACATGTTAATTTGTGCATGCTAGCAACATATCATTGTGTTAATATGCAAAGCTATATTGATTTAAATGACCAAAATATTAAAACATGCCAGCAAGATGTTAGCAAACAACATTAGTTACAACTATAAAGAGACATTAAAACATGATAGAAAGATGTTAGCAAGTCATGTTAATTTATATTAGCAAAATATTAAACATTGCAGAAACATGTTAACAAGCATTGTTAGTTTATCTGATCAAAATATTAAACCATGCTAGAAAGTTGTTAGCAAACAATATTAGCTAAAATTATAAAGAAATATTAAAATACGCTAGAAAATTGTTAGTCAGTCATGTTAATTCATTTTAGCAAAATATTAAAACAAGCTGGCAAGCAATGTTTATTCAAATTATCACAGTATTAAAACATGCTAGAAAGATGTTAGCAAGCAATGTTAATTCATATTAATAAAACATTATACAGATGTTTTAGTAAGTCACTATAATTATTATTAGCAAAATATCAAAACGTGATAGAAAGATGTTAGCAAGCAATGCTAATTAATGTTAAGAGCACTCAGTTCCAAGAGTAGATAGAACGTTCGAGGTTACAGAAGTAACCCTTCGTTCCCCGAGGAGGGGAACGGAAGTGCCATGAATGGGAGGATTCGGATCAGAAGCCGCTTATCTGGAGAGTATTGAACGGGCCAATGAATGAAATTAATTGGCAGCGTAAGCTTGCGCAGGTGTGCGACATCTGCAATTATCTCAGCATATAAGCACACCTGAAGCCAGCAGACGCCATCCTTTTAAGCTGAAGAGACTTTCAAACAGCTAAGGGACAGTCATTATGGCGACGGAATATGGCACTTCCGTTCCCCTCCTCGGGGAACGAAGGGTTACTTCTGTAACCTCGAACGTTCCCCTTCGGTTGGGGAACTTCAGTGCCATGAATGGGAGAATATGGAAAGCGCCATAATGACTGCACCTTACCAACACCCCCGATGAGGAGATAGTCAAGCAAGCGTGACGCACCCACATCATGGGGGGCGCGGTCCTCCAACGTGTCCCTGGCCCTAATTTATCCTACTTCAACAGAAGTTTTACGGATTTAGATATATTTTTTGGGAAGTCGTGAGCATCTAGATAATTCTAGGAAATACGACAGTACGTTGG